ACTATTTATGCAATTCTCATTGCATGGATATTAGTGTGAGGCAGGAACACTGTACATTCTGCTGTTTTTCTATACATGGTTGGATTATCACAGACTGCAATATACTGGTCACTAGGCATGTTATCTTCTGAATCTTCTCAGGGAGTCTGAACTTAGAGGTTGCCATCCTAGTCTTCAGAAAATTGCTGCCTTTTAAAAATTCCTGTGGGGAAGGAGGAATAAAAAACAGAAAAGCAGAGGAAGCTATAAATAGACAAGCATATTATACTAGCAAAGTAATTAGGGAGAGGTGCTATTAGGCTTTTAAGTGTTCCATATATCTTTCAGTATATGATGTAAATTGATTTACTCTGAATGTAATCACTGATATAGAATGGTAACAGTGAAACCATATAATGGAGTCCATTAATTTATTAGACTGGAAATATAACCAAAATTGGCTTATCAGTTGATTAGTGGAATCTAATTTTCTGGAGTACAAGGAGGAAGAATATATATGGGACGTTTTTGAGAAACTTGACCAGACATTAAAAATTTGAGAAGTGAATTAAACACTGTACTCTAGGCTGCAAAACCTTGCACACATCCTCAGGGAAGTGGCTGATGCTCTTAGTAGTGGTGGTAAGATGAAAACAGTGCTTCTGAGGGAGGCTGGAACCAGATGGTTATTCCCCTAAAGCCCTGTTTGTAGAAGGCCCCTTTTCTAATCTAGAATGTTCCCTGTGCTTTGACCATGGCCATTTTCGGTCTCAATGGGCATGGATTTTTATCTTTATTTTCCCTATGAAGAGTCTATAGAGCATGCAGGAGGCAAGCTTTGATCAACCTGTAGGGTGAGTTGACCATTGACACGTGGACAGATCCTAAAGTCAGGCCACAGTGGGTCTTCATTTCTCTACGAATTTGCGTAGAGAACTTCTCTTTTGACATAGCGCAGGTTTTCCACCACCTAAGCCCCTCTCCTGAGGTGTAGTAATTCTGTATATTTTTTATCATTATACTCTGAAGATTCCTTTCTAATGGATTGAGAACCACCTAGATGTTCTACATGTCTAAGTGAGAGTGTTTGAAGACATCTTGTTTACCACCACCTTCGTGTTGCTAATGACTGTATCAAGGTTGACAAGAAAAATAACCACTCATACTTTTTTCATTTTTTTCTGAGGATAAGTGTAAAATTAGAGTTGTTTTTAAAAATACTTTTATTGCTGTTTTTATCCATTTTTAGTAAAAAAAATTGCTAATTTAGTGGAGGTAAACACATGTGAATCCAAATTTATAAGCATTGTATCTATTTAAAAGCTTCTTGGTGATTGAGAGAATACTTTGAAATAATTCAGTACAAAAGAAAGCTATTAAAAAGGCATAAATAAATTATGAGGTAAAATTTTTTACTAACCATTTAAGTCAAACAGTGACAATTTCAAATAAACAGAAGCAAGATCTTAAAACATTATATCCTTTCAGCCTTATAAGTTTTTTCTTTATTTTTATTTCTTTTTTTTAATTTTCATTTGGAAGGCAGAGAGATCACCCTTCCATTGTTTCTCTACCCATATGCCCACAATAGGTAGAAAGGAACAGGGCCAAAGCCAGGAGCCTGGAACTCAGTCCAGGTCTTTCATGTAGATGAGAGGGCCCCAAATACTTAAGTTATCCCTGTTGCCTCCCAGGATGACTGTTAGCAGGAAGCTGGATCGGAAGTGGAGATGCTGGGGCCTGGAGCAGGCTGTCCCAAGTTGGCTGCTTAACTACTGAGCCAAACACCCAGCCTTAGTATTTACAAAATGAGGCAGGCTTAGGGGCAGCATTAAGCCACTGTCTGTGATACCAGCACCCCGTATGGGCACCAGTTCATGTCCTGGCTGCCCTACTTCCAATCCAACTCCCTGTAATATACTGGGGAAAGCAGTAGAAGATGGCCCAAGCTAACTGGGCCCTGCCACCCATGTGAGGGACCGGATGCCACTTCTGGATTTGGCATGGCCCAGTCCTGGCTGTTCTGGCCATTTGAGGAATAAACCAGCAGATGGAAGATTCATTTTTTTTCTCTCTCCCTTTCTCCCTCTCTCCTCCCCCCGACCCCCAACTCTGGCTTTCAAAAATAAAATAAATAAATGCTTAACAAAAATGAAGCAGGCCATCTATGGAGGCTACTCCTGGAATAGTTTTGAGTAATAGGCAGTAGTAATTGTGACTGGAAGACTGGTGTAACATACTTTGATTTCTGAAAACAGATTTTTCAAGATTCTCTATTGGCATTGAAATAATTCCCATGCAGATTAGATTTTACAGTGATCAAATGAGTAATACTTCCATGAAGCAGTAAAATCACTCATTTATCACCCCTCCAGTGGGATGATTTCAGCCTATTTAGATCCGTGATATTTATGGGTTTCACTTAATGAAATATATCGACTCATGTTCTAGTTTTGTATTTACAAAGAAATATTGGACTGGTAACAGTTTTTAAGGAATAAATATGAGCAGGTCAATAAAAATCATTTTGCATAATAGTAAAATCCCAAGTACTGCTAAGAGTTGATATTCATGTTAAATATTATTTTTGCATAGAAAAAGTCTTTAAGTGATCTACTTCCTTTCTCACTTTTACTGAGAAATACACAGCTCAGGCAATTGAGTGAGTTGAAGGAGGGAAATTGGGGCTGCAGCTCAAGAATCCTTTCTAATATCAAGTTTGCTCCTCAACATCTATCTTGTGCACATACTGGGGGCTCTCGTGAAAAAAAGAGATGAGTGTATTCTGGTATTATTGCTGATATTGTTTTCAATGCCTGCTTTTAGATATAGAACACAGTGAAAGATAAAGTGTCATCTTTATCGTTTTTCCTTCAACAGTATTGGGGGTTCTGCAGATTGGCTTGGACAGCATATTGCCATTTAATAGAGATTTTCTGTCTTAATGGGCAGTGACACAGTCTTAGAGCTGCTGTGATGAGATGGGAAACAGCTGCTCACTTCTGGGAACTAACCACAGCCCACACTCAAATCTGATAAGAACTCAAAAAATAAGTGACTTATTTGTAACAAAGGTGTTATGTGGCTGCCCCTGCAAAAATAATGTGGGCAAATTTCATGTGTTTGAAACATAATAGCTCTACTCTTGGACTCCAAAGTCAATTCTCTGTATATCAGTAAAGAGAGAGTGTGAAAAAGAGCATGCGCACAAGAGAATTCTTCTCTGAGTAGAAATTCAAGAAAATGATGAAACACATTTATAAACATGTAGAGGAAATGATCAGAACCACCAAAGAGCAGTCAAATCTAAATCTAGCTTTGCTTTCCTTCCGGTGCCATGTTGACATTATTCAAATCTTGCATCCATCCGTATTTTTTAAAGCTAGAATCTATGGGGTGAGTAATAAAGATTCATGGAGGTGTATGTTCCAAAGAGAGATGCCACTGTCAGGATGCCAGGAGTAGATGAAGAGCCAGTGGGGCATGGTGTAAACAAGCCACTAGAGAATTCTTGCAAAGGAAATGTGAATGCTTAATATTTCTAAGCTTCTAGTTAGTTATGCAAAGCAGAAAATTCAAAGTACACTTTTGAGGAGTGAATAGTTAGCAGAACATCTCTAAAAAATTGTGGGGGTTAAAGACACTATAGCTATTATTTCTTCTACACTGCTTTTCTAAGCTCTGCTGTACCACTAAGTGACATGTGGTTTAAATAAAGGGAAAAATCCCACCCCCACCCTTACTCCACCCCTGCATAACCAACCATGATATAAAACAACCAGAAATAAGAGAATCCCAGAATCTGGCAAGAAATAATTTTTTTCTAGCATAAGCTTTTGGGACTAAACTACAAACAGGTCTGTTCCATCGCAAAGATCCTGCTTTTTGTATATAAGCTCTACTTCTATAGAGATGATCTGTTAGCAATTGAATGGTGACAATTACATCTATAGTTTCCTGTGCTTTTCAAGCTTAGACTAAGCCGTATTACCTTCTTCCCCGTGGATGAAGCCCTGCAGATAAAGGCAGTGGCACAACTTAGCTTAAACACATCATCCTTCCCCCTTTCTTGTTCTGAGCACAACAGCAAGGGATGGGTGTTCAGAGCCCCACACGCCCTCATCAGCAAACCTGGGACCCAGGGCTACCTCCCTGTTACCCGCTCCACAGTCCCAGCCTGCGGTGAGCCACCAGAGGAGCCTGACTTGTTCCACCCTCTGGTGAGGGCACTGGCATCACGCTTAGCAACTCACCTTCCAACACTGAAATCTAGTGAGGAGAGTCGTTGGACTTGCTGAAAAGGAGGATTTTTTCTGGATTCTTCTGAAAATTGGGGGAATGATATGTGACAGGAGAAAATATTCAAGTAAATATGGTATGGTGGTGAATGCCTGTAATTTGAGCCTGGCTTCTCCAGGAAAAGTTCTTAATATTTGTGGCCCCTGGGCAAGAATTAACCCATCCTTAACTCAAGCTTGGCTTGAATTCCAGACAGGAATTTTTTAACTGTCCTCTGCTTCCTCTTCCCCTGCTTGTGCGCTCTGTTTCTGTCTTGTATATCACTGCAGGAAGTCAGTTCTAGTGAACGGATAGGTAAAGACCCTATGTGCATTCCAACATTTGCACTCATCTACCCAAGTGTCAACAGAGAACACAGTGCCAGAATCAACCTACTCTGTCCACGAGTGTGTGTTAAACACTATGGTGCAATGACTAATTGAAGTGACTGAAGTCTCTGAGCAGAGTACACATCACCACAGGACAGAGCCGGGATCTCAGAGCAGTCAAGGCTAGCATGAGCTGCAAATGTGGTCAGTGGAAATGAACTCTCAATTCAGCTCGGCAGCACGTGACTTCCTATTTCTGTAAGGTACTTCCAAGGGACTTCCTCTTAAAACCAGTCAGAGTCCCAGGAGATTTCCTTCAGCGACGGAGCTCAGTTTACTTTCAACCCTGGACGAAAGTTTTCCCGGAGATATGATGTTAGTTTCTTTTCTTTGTCTTTCTTTTGCTACTCCCAGCATGCAAGGATCTTGTGGCTCCTGTCCGTGATCGGAAACTGAATACAGTGGTGCAGATCTCAGTAATCCACCCTGCTGAGCAGAGTCTGACAAGATACGCCAGCACTGAAATTGTGGAGGTGAGCATGCCAGTGTCTGCATTATTCTCCTCTCTCTCTCCCTTCCCCGCTTCTGCTCCCCACCCCACCCCCCAGTCCCCAGGCAAGCAGCTGAAATGAGTTAGACAATGGTTATGTTAAATTCTTCTGTCATTGGGAACCCTATCAGGTATGGGTTGGTAACTTACCAGAATAAACAAATAGGCAAAGAACTTGCCCTTTTCGTTAAAAGATCTTATTTTTCTTCCATAGAGAGAAAAAAAGTTTCCACTTTAGATTCCCAGAGCATACAATAGAGATATTTAGAAACATACACACACACACACACACACACACACACAAAACAGCAACAACAGCAACAGCAAAAACAGCACAGCTTTTAAATTAAATGAAATGAGCATCTACTTTGGGGGAAAAAGTTATCAAGTACCCTTGAGAGTTTTAAACACGTTCAGTTTTTTTTTTTTTTTCCTTTTGATTTTTTCCCTGTATTCTTCACTCTGGAAACTTTCCATCCTCTGCTTTTAGTGTCTAAGTGCCATGTTGTTCAAAGAAATGTGGGTGACTCACTTGAAACCTGTAATGTTTTCAAGGCAAAAGGTGTAACTCTTACTCATCAGATGAGAGATTTCCTATTTACATTTATTGTTACCAACACACATTCAAAATGTGTCAGGAGGAAACTCGTTACTGTGTTGGATCCCATTCAAAAAAGGAAGCGTTTCCTTTTTGATGATTGTGTTCTGATCACACATTTTATCACCTTTGTGAATGAGAGGTGCTTATTTGAACATCTGGGGCTGGAGAAAAGTGGACTTTAAACTCCTTAAGATTTGCTTGTTTTTCTTAGACTTGTGAGCCCTGTCTGTTTAGAATGAGGAGTTTCTCTGTGAGCACCTAAGCAGCCTCTGGACCTGGCTGGCTCAGAGCTGACTGCCTGCTTTGATGCAGTGGGTGGAATAAGTGATTCAGACTGAACGCAGAGTCATTTCTAAAATGGGAATGACCCAGATACTGCATGTAGCCCAGAATCTACACTTTGGAAACTAGATTCCAATGCTGATGTATGAAAAGTTATAATGCTGTAATTAAATTCATGCAAACAGCCTTATTCATGTAAAGACAACTTGGCTGAAATTGCAAAATGTTTTACTTATTTGGAAAAGTTTTTCAAGTGTTCTAAGTTAATTATTTTTAAAACATTGCCAACATTTTAAATGAATTTATTTTTGTTTTCCTCTCCTTCCTCCAGTTTTTTTAAATTGTGATAAAAATATAGATAAAATTTAAAGTCTTAAATGTAATAAATTACCATGGCACATTTCAAAGTTTCACAGTGGAACATATATTGCAGTTTTGACTGTTTTAAAAATATTTGTTGAATAAAAGAATGAGTCAATGAATAAAAATTTAGGCTTTGAGAAACTTCTGTAGGAAATTGATTTATAGAACTCTAGCAAACATTGCTGTGTTTGGGTGTGTACACCCCCCACACACATAAAATTTAATGTTGACTGTCAACTCTCTAAAAATGAATTGTGAGGCACTGACACATCCTGGTCACTGAATCCTGAGATAGTGATTTCATAGCCCCAAATCTATCATGTTTAGAGGTTCTTTCATCAGTTTGCAAGTCAGTGTGGGAGGGAAAATCACAGCTGAGCATCTGAAAGCAAATGGATACTACTAGAGCTTAGTTTACCATTGAATTGTTATGGAAAGGAAGTAAATGGACAGTGTAAGGTTACCAACTGTCTTTATGAGAAAATAACTTCAATTTGATCAATCTCAGATTACTTGCATAAATTACAGGTTATATCTATTAAATGTATTTCAAATGGACTTCCAACTAACCCTAAATAAAGCCTCTGAATATAATGAAAAATGCTTCCTGATTTGTTCTATTAACAACCCTGACAATGATGCAGGTCCAGCTTAGGCCACCAATTTATTATCAACAACTATATCAGTGCTTTGGGGCTCTGGGCCTTGTTGTTCCCCTTGAACAACGTTTGGCAATTCAGATCCCTCTTGCAATAGCACCATTTCCTAGAAAAACACACTCAGGCACACTTTCTGTCTTCTCATGTGTCGCTGTGTGCTGCCAACTGCAGTTGCTGCCTTACGGAATCAAAGCTGCCTGCTTGTGCTCTTGCAGGGAACAAGAGACCCACTGTTTCTGACGGGTGTCACATTCCCATCTGAGTATCCCATCTATGAAGAGACCAAAATAAAACTAACAGTCTATGATGTCAAGGATAAGTCTCATGACACTGTAAGTACTTGTCCCTCTTTCTTGGGAGAAAAGAATTATGCTTTTGAAACTTTTCAGATTTGTATGTAACTGGCATTTTTCAAAGAGGATATTTGTTCTGTGTTGATGCTTGTTTTATATTTATAGTTTGCTGAGTTTTTTTTTTTTTTTTTTTCAAGCTAATTTGGCTTAGAGCCAAATTGGCAGTTGGTTAGGAGCAATGCTTTCAGAACAGATTTTCTCTTTAACAGAAAGGCTGACTTGATCTTTGTGTTTACATTTGTAGTTGATAATGTTGTTTTAAGCTGAAGAGGCAATATTGTAGGCAGAAAACAAGTGGAAGAGATTAACTAATATTTCAAGATTTTCTGGATATTGTAATTATTCTAAAATAAGGAATTGACCAAGGGCTCTACTCTTATCATTTTGCATACTGTGTAGAGAGGAACTCCGTACTTTTTTTTCTTGAAGTTGTTTTTGGCACCAATGCCAAAAGAGAAGGTAACTGGGAGGAAGCAACAAACTTAAGTGGTCTCCTTACATTAAGAATATGTAAAGTCCCACTGTTCTTTTGTGCTAAACACTTCAGTCTTCCTACCTGGGTTGAATTTTCCTCCAACTGAATCATCACTCCTGGTTAGACAGTTAAGTCCAGGCATTATACTTCACAGCCACTTGTACAATTCCTAGACAAGAGAGAATGCTGCTAGGGAGATACCAAGAAGGACAGGCAGCTCTCTCCTTTAAATGTCTTGAAATCTCCCATGCATGGGAATTGGTGTGTGCTTTCAAGGAATCACAGCTATTGAAATCTTAGTTGTTAATGGTGAGGCATTTAAGACAGGGACTGCTTTGATGGCAGGTGGCCTTGTAGGTTCCAGGAGAGTTCTGGTTGATACTAAGGGACACTGCTAGACCTGGAGCGACATACCATGCCTCCTATGGGGGAAGTGTAGCTGTAGATTCTGCCCTTTTTTGGACATTTCTGTTTTGCTCATGATGCCTGTTTCTCTTTTTTTCTATTTTTTTTTAACTGCAAAAGCTATAACACAGGTGGAAGCATCTTGTATTCATTCCAGTTTTAGTAAAGAAAAATATGTTGTGAGGATACTTCAACAACTTCATAGAAAATAGAATTATAAATGTATTTTGTTACAAAAGTTTCAGACATTTATGTACTTTTTTTCATAATAAAAAATTACTGTGAACTTTTTGAAGACCTCTCTTATAGTAATGTCTACTTAGCCTAGACTCAGGGAAGTTCATGTCTTTAAAATTGTAAAACAAATTCCCAATCAAACGCATAAATCACACATGTGGAATAGAAATAGTCCTGGCAGTGTGGTCCGGTTAGGAAGCAGATTCTACAGCCAAACTGGCTGGTTTTTTTCCACTCACTAGCTTTGTGTCTGCAAGAGTTGATTCTCAGTGCCTGTGTTTCCTCATGTATTTAGTGACATTTTGTAAGAATTAAATAAGTAAATATATGCATAAAATTCAGAAGACCATTACAAAATAATCAAGCATAAGCTGCTTTCATTAATACAGTTATCATTTTGTTTGTTACCTTATGGTCTCAAATAAAATAACATTAATCCAAACTTTTTTATTTGTAAACCTTGCTCTTTCCCAAGCAGTCCTACATTTGTTCTTCCTGACATTTTTGAAGAAGAGGGACGCATTTTGATTAAAGCTGGCAAATGAAAAATAATTATTCAAGAGTATTGTCATTTCCTTTCCATTTTTCTTGACCTTTGAGGTAACTATTGACTGTGACAGGACCATCCAGATATCCAAACCATGTTTGATAGTTTAATAGATTATGCACAAGTCCCCTAGGCCCAAGGCTTCCCCCCATCACTTCTTTCAGAGAAAAGAAACAGATGGAAGGAAAAAGATCTCAAATTTGGAGAGGAGGGAGCCACAGTTCAAATGGATGCTAGGAGGAGGTGATACAACTGTGCTGAGAAATAAAAGCAGAGAAATAACCAGGATGAAAGGGAAGGCAAAGCAGCAATGATGGGATTTTATGTTCTGCAAGGCGCATGATTAAATTCAGTCCTCCAGCAGTCCCACTGCATGTACGCCAAAGTACAGGAACACTGTGTTAGGCACATGGAAATGTAGCTTATAAACTATCGCGTGTGTTAATACTTAGAAATATCAGAATTAGAAATGTTAAATACTAAATAGGTTTTCTCTCCTTCAATCAGCTTCATGCAAAATATGGGCATATATCGCATGTGTTAATACTTAGAAATATCAGAATTAGAAATGTTAAATACTAAATAGGTTTTTCTCTCCTTCAATCAACTTCATGCAAAATATGGGCATATATCAATGCTCTGGAGAGGAACCATTAGCTTGCCCATTAATTATGCTTTTTTGTTAACTTCCTTTGTGGGAACTAGTTCTTTGAGGTATTTTAAAGACTTTCTTCCTTGATCCCAGATGTGATCCCATGAAAGTATTGAATGATCTGGAACCTAAGCTGTGAAATAACACTTGTGAAATTTGAATATACTTAATAACTTCAGCCAGCTTTCATCTACCAGGTGCTGTTGATTGAGGCATAACCTCTTCCTGAAAATAGCTAACAATTAGCTCTGGTGATGGAAGTGTAAATAGAAACACAGCTCATTAATATGCTAATAGTCCCCATGGACATCTAGTCTTTATCCTGGCATACTTTCTTAAGTATTTCTTAGGGGTGAGCGGTGAGGGGAGGCAGCAAGTTTCTTAAACTACTGCCTATAATTATAAGCACTTAGCAACCCCAGTCTTTTAAGGGCATAATATGTATGGAATTATGAATAATATGTTTTGGAAAATTAATAAATTATGTGCATGTACTTAAAGTACTTTAAATATTTTGGCCACAGCAAATCATTGATCACCTTAGACTGAAAAGAATCACATCTTCTGTACTGATTGAATACCAGTTGGTTGATCAGATGGCTACCTTGTTTGTGTGTTCCTGTTAAGTTTATTATTACTTGGAATTAAGTAACCAAATAAATGTATGACTTTGGCATTTAATATTCATTTAAATATGTATTAGAAGATTTTAAAGAGCTGTAATGACTTTTCCTCTGTGCCCTTCATGCATCTATTATCTATTTGTTGTTCCTGTACTTTTCTAAACAGCTGGGCCTAAGATTGATTGTCTTAGTAACTTCAACCGAAATGCAATTAATCATCATAGCGACTGAGAAGAGTCTAACTGTTGATTTAGAATGACTATTGTTTCCTCCCACACCCTTCATCCTACCCCTTCCCATTAGAGTAACTCCTCTGTTGGACATGGATAGATAATGCTTGGCAGGTGGAGTTGAGGTTGAGTATAGGATGGAAAGGGTACTTAATAGGATTAAAGTGGCATTTTGTTTATTTTTCTCACTAAGAGGAAATTCTCTTATCAGAACAGGCTGCTCTGACATCCAGCTGGAGACGTTAAAGCACTGAAATTGAAGCCAATGGCTAGGATAAGAAAGCCAAGTTCTAACAGTGGGGTCAATGTCTTGTGGATGAATATTGGTTGTATGCTTTACTTTAGAACTTCTGGAAACTGAAATGGAGGCAAAAGCATTTTCAGAACATTATTTACATTTTTTAGCTCTGGGGAAAATCAAACTGGGAATTTGGATCTTTCATATGTTACAGCAGAAAATTCAAAGCAAGGAGAACTTTATGAAGATAAGGAACCTCAGCATCACATTTTGCTTTTCTCTTTCCTCCATGAACAAGGCTCTTTCAACACTGAGAATAGCCATTGCATCTGCAATCATGATTAGGCCACAAAATTGCTTTTGTCCATGGTAGAAACTTGAATTTCTGCCCTATTTTGTGCAAGTGCACATTGACCTCATTCTTTTTGCTCTGGGTTAAATAAGAATTTGCTAGAGCCTCAATTTGTTAAATGCCCAGCTCATAGGACATAATTCAGTATCGAGTAGATACTGAACTTTTTTAAAAATTTTTTACCATTAGTTACCAGCAACTCTCCATTTGCAACTTTCAGAAAAAGTAATTTTATCAAGATTAGATAGAAATTCACCATAATACATGTTATATGCCCCAAGGCAGTTCAGTTCTGGTACAATTTCCTAGATAAAAGTTTCCAGTTCCATCCTTTATGTTTTTTCCATGGAAAATGAAAGCATTTTGCACTTTGTTTACTTCGACTTGGTTTTCTAAATGCTCTTCCTGAGAAGTTTAGGTCTAGCTGTACCTGTTAGCTGGATTCCCCCTCTGTCTTGAAGATACAAATATGGTGCAGTAGGTAAGGAAAAAGAAATTAAGCTTATTGAAAACTAAGTACATACGCAACATCAAGTTTAATATGTGATGTGAAGTTTCTTCTTTAACTTCATAAAACTCCTTTGAAGGAAGTATTGTGTCTGTTTTAAAGATGATGACAATGGTCTTCTGAGCGTTTAAGTAGACAAGGCCTGAGATTCTTTATTTTTACCATGCTACTCTGTGTCTTTACATTGTCACTAAGAGTTTCTTCATTTTCACCTCCCTGCATGGCATTTTTATTTTAACTGATTATTTAAAAACATTCTTTGTTTGGAGGTTAAAAGTTGAAGAAAAAAAAACAATCAAACATGGAAAATTCTGTATTCAATTTTTAAGCACTTAAATGAAGCATATGTAACTAATCACAGATGTCCAAACACATTTTATAATGCAGTGGCCACCACTCATTAAGGGAAAAAAAGAAAAAAGAAAAGTTGCTGTTATTACTTGGTGTGAAATGCACAAGTTTATGTTTCAGACTTTTGCTTTGGTCGCTTAGGCCTTGTTTTCCCCTCGTATTCTAGTCTGTGTGGTCCTCTCTAGCTGTCCTTTCATCGGAATTTCTGTTTGCAATGCTGTCAACCTTGTGACATAGTCTGCAAGGGGAGCTCCAGATTCCATATAGCAGGAGCTCAGGGGTCTAAAATTTTTCTACCATTCATAAGTTAGTTCACCTCTTTTTTCTACCTGTTAATAGGTGGATATGTCTACAGAGAACA